GCTGCTGTTATATCTACTCAATACAGCAGGATCTGTAATCTGCTAATGCTAATCTGACTTTGATGACGCAGCTCTGACGTAGTAGTGACGTTAATTGTTACTACCTACCGTAGTGACGCTGTTACTACAGTAGTGACGCTGTTCATACAGTAGTGACGCTGTTACTAGAGTAGTGACGCTGTTACTACAGTAGTGACGCTGTTCATACAGTAGTGACGCTGTTACTAGAGTAGTGACGCTCTTACTACTGTAGTGACGCTGTTCATACAGTAGTGACGCTGTTCATACAGTAGTGACGCTGTTACTAGAGTAGTGACGCTCTTACTACTGTAGTGACGCTGTTCATACAGTAGTGACGCTGTTCATACAGTAGTGACGCTGTTACTACAGCAGTGACGCTGTTACTAGAGTAGTGACGCTGTTACTACAGCAGTGACGCTAGTACTGCAGCACGGACGCAGTTAGTACAATAGTGACGCTGTTGCTACAACATTGACACTGTTTCTACAGCATTGACGCTAGTCATACAATATTGACGCCGTTCCTACAGTATTAACAAAGTATGAAATGGTTCGCAGAATATAGCAACCACTTCTACAGTTCTACAGTATCGCGAGCTTTCATTTAATATTGCAGCTGTTTCTAAATCCGCACTTAATCTCTGTAATGTATCAGTCGGCAAACCTTGGCCGATTCGGCGCTTACGTCCAACCGATAACCCGAAGGAGGGCAGTGGATTTATCCGAAGTTAGCCGTATGCCTTCGTGTACGCTGCGACGTAACGCGTGCGTACCCGGATGAACCCCGACGGGTACCCGGAGGATATCTGCGAAGATGGCCGCCATTATTATTTACGAACCCGATTATTAATTTATTATTATTAATTTGAGCGGTTGCGAATGTGCATGACCCAGTTTTCTTCGTGAATATTTTAATTGAGGTGAATGTTTTACTTCTCGTTGAATATTTTGACGCAACAGATCTTTTTAGAAACGTGCCAACATTCCATGACGCATACACACGTACACGCACGCATGCACGCACGCACACACGCACGCACGCACGCACTCACTCCGATTATTCGTTGTATCGAAACATCTTGTGTTGTCTCGGCAGCAGACGTCAGAGGGCGCTACGCACGATGAGAGTGTCATGTATAGATGGTCCCCGTGCGTCTCCTGCCCCCACCGTTACAGGGCACCGCGTATAAGTTATAGTTCCCGTTGCGAGAAACGTGTTGCCAGTCTAACCGTATATTGTATTCTGACCGCGAACTTTCATTGAAGAACTTTTGTTCTCTTGTTCTCTTGTATATCTGTACACTCACCTATGCACCGTCACGATGTAAACAACACTGCGCATTATTACTATACGTTATTATTATTATTATTATTATTATTATTATTATTATTAATATTATCGATTATATGCACTGTTCTCTGTGATTTCATTACGTAGATGGACACTACGTTATAATGCACGTTGCACGTAGTACGGTAGTGAACGACGGTCGAGCCAAACTAGAGAGGTTATATACGTTAGTTTCAATCTAAAAATATCGTGTACAGAAAAGCACAAGCAGAAATGAAGCGATCGAAGTCGGGGCATAATCTACAGTTTAACTAGACGTAGAAAAGTAGTAGTAGTAGTAGTAGTAGTAGTAGTAGTAGTAGTAGTAGTAGTAGTAGTAGTAGGAGTAGCGCAGTATAGTAGTTAAGTAGTAGTAGTAGTAAGTAGTAGTAGTAGTAGTAGTCAGTAGTAGTTAGTAGTAGTAGCAGCCAGCTAGCAGCAGCCAAAAGAAGGTGTTAACAACAGCAAGCAGCAGCAGCAGCAGTTTAGCAGCAGCCAGCAGCAACAGCCAAGCAAACAACAACAGCAGTAGCCAGCAACAACAAGGGCAGTGCGGAGTTGATATCATTGTTCTGGAATCTGCACAAGCACGAAAGGCCAAATAAATAATATAGTGGGAACGAATTCATAATGGGTCTTGAACAATTTGTTTTTTTGTTATTTTTTTTCTTCGACGACGGCCTCATACACACCACACGCCACGGGGCAACCACCACCACAACACACACACACACCAAACCCACACACAACACACCAACACACACACACAACACACACAACACACACCGCACACACCATGCACTCACCGCACGCCACACCCACGGGCTCGTACACACACGCGGCACGCCATGGCCACGCCACGCCCAACGCAACACACACCCAGCACACGAACACACGGGGCGGCCGGGCGCATAACACGCCCTGTTAACCTTCCTTCAATTGCTTTCCAACCCCTCTCTTAAAACGGCCTTTCTAGTCTCCTGCCTGCGCCCCCTTTGCTTCTTATTTGCCTTCCCCGGCTTCTGCAGTCTGAAAGCCCTTGCTTTTAACATGCCTTCCCTAAACCGCCTTCCAATCTTCCCATCCGCCTATAACTCTTACGCCTTTTGGCTGCGGCCTCTCTGCCACCATACTCCCATTCACTTTCCGGTCCGGGGAGGTGCCCGTCACGATGCCCATTTCCCGTTCTGCGTGCCGTGGCGTTATCGCGCGTGGCC